GAGAGAGAGAGAGAGATTTCTATTTGACTTGAAGAATTTGAACATTCATTTAATCTTGATCCTGGTTGACTTGAAGAACATTCATTTGATCCTATTCCTTATGACTGAAAATATAGTATGCTGGATCTGTGTGAATTACTTGGTTATACTGATACATGATTTCTTTTTTATTAGAGATGGAATTTACCATGTTTCTACCTAGGTCTCAAGTGAACATTGTTTTTTTTTTTTGGGTAAATAGTACTCTAGTCATCTCTTGAAAATAGATATTTTTTACGTTATGTTAGTCTCAACTCCAATTCATGGCTGGTGTTAGAGGTGGAATGTGGTGAACCTGACCCTATTGGTCTAGACTCCGACATTGGATCTGACAGGTAAGGTGCAGTTACCTAATACAAACACACATAAATATAATATATATAAAAAAGTTGCTAATTATATAATATAAAATTTATAAAATAAATTTTATATTTTTCCATATCTAGACCCTGGACCAGACTGATCCTGGTTTGGATTTTTACCTAGTCAGGTCGGGATCAGGTAGGGATCGACACGGACCTGAGCCAACCCATTTACAGCCCTGGTTGGCATCCCTTGTTGATAGTTTGACATGTTTCGACACCTTAGGACACCAAGATACAGAAAAAATCACAGTTGTCGGAAGTGTCTGAGATTTGGAAGCGTTTTAGGAATCAAATGCTAGTAGCTAGAAGATTCCTATGGTAGGAAGTGCCATCCGTACAATGCATGTTATAGCAATTGAGATTCCTAGGTTCTGGAAATTGCGCTCCAACTGAATAGGAATCGAGATTCCTGCCTTTCTGGAATCAGGCATCCAACCACTTGGAACCATGTCAAAAAATCATCAAGAAACAAATTCCATGGGGCTGAAAGTTCGAGGTTCTAAAGTATACTTAACCAAGAATCCCTTGGTATTTGAATCAATAGATTATCATGCTTTGCCAGGGTTCCCCTTGTATAGGAATTGAGGCCCTCAAAGGTCCTAAAGATCTGAACAAGGGATTCCCTATTATTAAAATTGATATATTGATTAGCCTTAATCACAATTCCTTACAGGTATTGGAATCACCAGTCGTGTGCCCTTAAATCTAGATTTGAGGTTTATTGCGGTTCTAGATTGAATAAAGAAAGTAAAAGTACTTAATTTATTAATAATGAATTTTTTTAAAAAAAACAAGATATTTATTTTGGGTTCTACCTTGACATTGGGTGTCAAGCTCAAGTTATTTGATGCTTTGACACTTTAAAACATGTCACCATGGCCCAAGTTGTCGATAGTTTAAACTTAGCTGCAAAAGACATTACTGTGATACTTTGTCAATAACTTAATCACACTAGACATTTACATTTGCATCTTGATTCCATGTTGGAATCACTGCTCGGTGCACCGATGAACCTAGGATTGAATTTTATCAAATTTGGATTCCAAATAATTGTAGTTAGGTTTTCTTAAAAATTGGAAGCGAGATTCTATGTTGATTGAATCACAGTTATGGGCACCTATGAAGTGCAATATTTGATGATGTGGAATTTAGATTCCAAAGAAATTGGATAGCGATTCTATAAAGGGGGAGAGCTTAGGGGTTGCTCCAATAGGTGATAGATGAGAGAAAACAGACTTAGATGGGCTGGCCATGTGCAGCACAGACCTAGTAGAGAACTTGTTAGGAGGTGCGAGTTGGTTCAAGTGGAAGGCTAAAAAAGGGTAAGGGATAGGTCCAAAAGGAAATAGTTGAAAGTAATGAGAAAATATATGGCGACTTATAACTTCATTGAGGGTATGGCCCTTGATAGAGAGCAGAATGGTGGCCAGGATTTTCATGTAGCCAACCCCAAATAGTTGGGAAAAAGGCTCTGATGATAATGAGAGATTCTATAAAGGTGAAAGTGTGATTTCTAACTTTAGAAAATCAAGTTCCATGAAGATACGCTGATCAAATCACCGAATCGAGATTCCAAAGTGGAATTGCCACCTCGAGTGGAAGATTCTTGTAACAATGGAAAAATTTGCAGAAGGACTTGCAGTAGAGTACTAGATCAGGCCATCTTGGCCTAGTGGTATGTGTTCTACCACTCTTCATCCACTTTGTACGTTGTTTATAGAGATGGAAATTGATTATTTACTTGAAAACAGAATATTTTATTTGTGGATAATAATAATCCATATGTAGTTGTATTAACCTTTCAAGTCAAAGTAATAGACGCCTTTGACTCTTCTAGGAATCGTTGCTCCTATTGATGTCCACATAACATTAATTTGGAACTCTTTCCTTCAAATCGGTATTCCAACACGAATTAGTTGGAGAGGTCAACTTTTACTATCAGTTGGACTATAAAGCTCAAACAACGGATAAATTGAAAGGTATGGTTGAGTCAAGATTCATGAGCATTTGCCCTAGAGGTTATTGTTGGGACAAGTAATTATGAGAAGTCTAGTTTCAATTTCATGACTTTCATAGGTCTCATCTCCTAAAGAATCAATTCTTGCAGGAAGATACATTTGATGAGTATGCGGAACTTGTGAATATTTCTCTCTCCACTCTCTTGCATTACGAATGATCCACTAGGAACGCATTCATATCTCAAAGACCTTCTAAATCAAGCCATTTGAGTTACCCTTATAATTGAGATATTGAATTGTTCCCTTGGGATTAACAAATTATTCATGTGAGTGAATTGATCAAAGTCCAACTTCCCAAAGAAAAAAGAAAAGAACAGAGACAATTGTAATATTCAATACGATGTTACTCTGTTATCTGATTGATAGGTATCATTATACACAAATTTATCTGTTTATTGCAGGATATAGCATTTGGCCTGTCTCTTGTCCCTCATTGGCTGCTCTATCTCATCCTTTTACTGTTGTGGAGCTTCTCTCCACCCCCCCCCCCCCCCCCCCCACCTGTAGACTTCTAAAATCCCATGTCATTCAAGGTACCTACTATGCCATTTTCTCTTTTTAACTCCTACCCACTACCATTTGAGAGAGGGGTTAGCATAGTGGTGTCCCTTCCCATATTCCATAGACCTACAAATGCCCTAATTTGTGAAAAATTACACTTGCCAAACTTCGAAATGCCCATATTCTGAGGGCCAGTCACTCTTCCTCTCGTAATTTTTGTCTAACACCAACTTTTAAACTCCAAACTCAGATCTTCAACATGCAAAAACACTGACAAAATTACCTAGAATCTCAACTTTGGATTTATCACTCCCCATTCATAGTCCCCATGGAACATGGAATCAAGCAAAAGAAAGGTTGGGTTCTCTAATTGTAAGCCCTTCCTGCTCCCCGAATACTATGGCTATGCTCTTCCTCATAGATTTTGCAAGTTCCTGGCCAAGGAACAACAGTTGGGCCAAAACATCTTTCTAAGCGCACCTTTGTTTAGAAAGCACATAACTTCAATCAATCAAAAGCAAGCAGCTAGGATTGAACACCTCTCCAATCTCCACAACCAGGGCCCTCAATACACTCCCTCATTTTTATTTATGTTTAACATTAATAACTTACCATTTTGTTAACTATACAAAGTATTACCACTGTAAAAGTAGCAATTCTACATCCAACATTCTATATGAACACATACGTTCTACTTTAATCTATTCAACAGCATAATTTGGAATCATTGCATCTTGTCTAGCTAAAGTATGAGCTTTGTTCCTATCCATATATAAATGAACAAATTCATCCTCTTTCTTCCTATACGAATTTTTTGCTTCACTCTATATAGGCTTCATAGTCCATGGTATTGGCTGCTCTCCTTCTCACCGCTTTATAGAACTCATTGAATCCCCCTCCACTATCGTCTTCTGTGAAGCACCTTAGAGTAACTTCAAACCTTGCAGAATTGATTTCAACTCTGCTTCATTCACAGTTGCAATACGAACAGGTTCAGAAACACTATTGCCTCTCGATAATCCTGAACTCTACCACCAACTCCAGCCTGTCTTGGATTATCGTAAAGCTTCCATCAAAATTAAGTCAATGGAACCTTCTGGTTTCCCAATTCAATGCCCACAATTACTTTGTTTTTCCCATTTTTGATACTTCACTAATCTCATATAGAAAATCTTCTCTTCTTATTCTCAAACACTTCTTACTAAACTGCGCCTAATCAAATATTGTATGCCTTGTCATTGCTTGAATTCTATTTAGTTTCATCCTTTGCCCTTTAAAATTTTTCAATTTTTTTCTTTCCAAACCTCCCATGACAAAACACGTTAAAATGTTTTCCAAACTACACTTTCAGTTCTTGAAAATGCATTATTCATTTGTAA